TTGTGGACGACATAAGGTTGAAAAAAAACTGAATGGACTAAGGGTATACAAGATTAGAAATTGAAATTGAAGACACAATTGTCAAGCAAGTGAAGGGAACATAAACATCAGCAAACTGGCCTAGAACTGTATGGATGATATAATTGGTAAAAATATTATAGATACGTTCTTTCTGTTTCCCCTCTGGCTTTTTACTGTTAACGTTCATCTTCTAAACCTTTGTAACGAATGTGAATTGTTTGTATATTCATATGTGTGTAGATATGTTTGTCTGTATGTCAAAAAAAAATTACTAGAAAATGTTTCCCTACATGTAAAAGTTTGTTTTTTTCTAATAGTAAGTTTCGAACTTGTATGTGTAACTTTCCTTCTTTGTTATGCGTATGTATGAGAAAACTGAAGTCACTGAAGCGGTGAAATTACTAAAATATAGTTTAACAAAACAGACATCAAACGGGTGATAATAGCAGAGCTGTCTTACGAGGGAAAGTGTTACGATAAGGTAGCAATAAAGCAACATATAGTTTAACCAGGGATAACCGTGCACTTTATGTTATGTACAAAGGGCATAGTGATGATGCTTTTATGTACTATGTGGTACATAAACCCGCATATTGCGAGACATTGTGTCACAGTGAGGAAAGAAAGATGCAATAAAGAATCTATCTTACATTTGGCTAAACGTAAAGAAGGAATCGTGTTGCAAAGGTTCGTGTTAGTTGATAAGCGAGTAACATGCACTATTAACCAGAATTCAAATTATTTCTCAGTATAGCCAGAACGTACCTGAAGCATAGGGATTTCCATAAAACAGTCAACATTTACATTTAACTGGAAAACAAGACGTCAGTGAATTTAGTCATGCACCCGGCAAGTATGTGAAGATAAGGTAGTGGGATCTCTAGAAGAGTGAAGAAGCGACACAGTGTAGCCAGAGCAAGACGAGGGCTAAGCAGGAACAAATATAGCCAGTCAGAGATGGTCAGTGTAAACATATCATAACAGCCATTCAGTTAGAAGGGAATAGTATGGACAGTTAAACAATGAAAACAGTGGAGTTAGAACAGAAATGTCTTTTAGTAAAGGCCGAATAGCATGAACAATTTAACAGTACGAACAAACAGTATAGCCAGAACAGAAAAGCCTTTCATTGAGGGATGAATGTTATATAAACAGTTTAGCAATGCTCTATTCTTACAAAAAAAAAAGAACAGTTTAGCCAGAACAGTGCAGCCTTGACGACAAAACAGTGAGGCCAACGAATATATGCAGCCAGAACGAAAGAGTGAAGATACAGTATAGCCAGAACAGGGCGAGGTGTTTGCTAGCCAAGAGCCTCGCTAGGGAGAGCGCGTCAGCACACTCCCCGCGTCCCGAGACTAGCAACAAGCATTGACTCATTATAACCTGCATACACTGTACACAAAATCTTTAATCTGCGCCAGATCATGGTAATGGTGTATTGTCACACAGTCAAATATGCAAAGTTGAATTAATCTTTTAAAAATGCCGGAAAAAAGTTTACACGTCAGAGCGAAAATCGGATTACGTTGCGAACACAGTGATGGGTGATAGAGTGGTAGGGGGGGGGGGGGGCGGAGGAAGGATGGAGAGGAGAGATAACAGGGATAAGGATAAGGGAAAATGGGGGATAGGGAAGGGGGATGGGCGTAGAAGAGAGATAACAAGAATGAGGATAAGGGAAATTAGGAGGATAGAATTAGGGGGAATGGAACGAGAAATTAAAAAAATAATAATAATAAAAAGCATAAGGATATATATATATATATATATATATATATATATATATATATATATATATATATATATATATATATATATATATATATATATATATATATATATATATATATATATATATATAAGGGAGAGGGAGAAGATATAGAGACAAAGAAAACAGCTACATAGCTATGATGGCAGTAGAGGAGATTTTAGATAAGATTTCAAAGATAAAAGATTATATAAAAAAAAAAAAGTTACAAAGCGTGTCGACATATTCAATGACAGAACAAGCTACACACATATACCTACACACACACGTATACATACACATGTGCGCGCTCGTAAAAGAACTTTTTTTTTTCTTTTTCTTTGTCTTTCTTATTTTCTGAATGACTATAGAAAACTCGCGTCCATTAATCTGATGGCTTTTTGATTAGTTAGTTGGAAATTATGTATACACAGTAACACTATACAAAAGGCCAGAAGCAAGAAATGATTACTTGAATCGAAATTGTTTTTCAAATTATATAAAGATTTACTTCTGTGCATATACATATATACATAAATATAAGTACATAAATGCTGTGTACATATGTATAGATAGATAGATAGATAGATGGTGTGTGTGTGTGTGTGTGTGTGTGTGTGTGTGTGTGTGTTGTGTGCTTGCGTGTGTGTGTGTGTTGTGTGTTTGCGTGTGTGTGTGAGTGTGTGTGTGTGTGCGTGCGCACGTGTGTGTGTTGTGTGTTTGTGTGTGTGTGTGTTGTGTGTTTGTGTGTGTGTTGATGTGTGTATATGTGTGTGTGTGTGCACGTGTGTGTGTGTTGATGTGTGTGTGTGTGTGTCTGTGCATATATCAGATTACTTAACCTACCTTCCCTTTTATTCGTATACGTATTCGTCTGTTGAGGGAAACGCAAATGCAACATAACTAATTAACAATTATCACCGCACTATCCTTACCTATTCATATCTTCCCACTGGCGTTACATGCCTCAAGGAAGAACATTACTGCATGATTAGACAATATATACTGAGTCATCGGAATTAAATCTTTTAAGATGATTTAAGATCAATTAGCAGTGATAACGATATTATTGTGACAATGATAAAGAGTAAGGGAATAAAGATTTTCAAAACAATAATGATAATTATTATTATTATCATTATTACTATTGTAATTATTATTATTCTCGTTATATTTATTATTGTTATCATTATGATCAATATTTTCATTATCATTATCATTTTCATCATTATCATCATTATCATTATGAAAACAATGTAATAACTGAAGCATAAAATTATGAATGTTAGAACAGATGGATGAAGTAATTAAAACTAGATAGACGAAATAATTAAAATGATATGAGTTCTTTTCCCTCGTGTTCTGTTCTCTGTGAATGCAATGATTACAACTCGATCTCTTTCTATGATCACCATAAGCTACCTGCGTTGCCACAAGATTATATCCGTAGAAAAAAAAAACATGAAACTTTGTGTGAGATTAGGTTGTGACATTGCATTAAAAAAGAAGTTTAAAAAGATTTTTTTTCTGTTTTGTTATGTTTTTTTATCATTCGTATATAAAAGTGAGATTTTAATGTTATTTATTTATTTTCTCTCTCTCTCTTTCTCCCACTCTCTCTCTCATTCTCTCTCTCTTGTTCTCTCTCTATCATCTCTCTCTTTCTCTCTCTCTCTCTCTCTCTCTCTCTCTCTCTCTCTCTCTCTCTCTCTCTACCTGTCTCTCCCACCCTCTCTTTCTCTCTCTCCTTCTCTCTCTCTGCCTGCCCCCTCCCCCTCTTTCTCTTTCTCTCTCTCAGTCTATTCATCAATCTACCTCTTCACTTTGACCTTCGACATACAGATTTAAAAACAAAAATGTATATATTCATATATGTTACTGCATACGTGTGAGTGTGTGTGTGTTTGAGTGATTCTTTCTTTGCTTGTGTGTATGTATTTGTATATGTGATTTTTTTTCTGAGTACTAATGTATAGTTCTATATCTGGAGTATGTATGTACACATACAGTGCGTACGCATACACATATACAGTGTGTACGTGTATGTGTGCATGTGTGTGTGTGTGTATATATATATATATATATATATATATATATATATATATATATATATATATATATACATATATATATATATATATATATACACACACACATATATACATGTATTCATATATGCATTTAGGTATGTGTGTGAGTTCTCGAAACAAAGTGACAGGGAGTGTCCCATTTGCAAATAATATAATATATATATATATATATATATATATATATATATATATATATATATATATATATATATATATATATATATATATATATATATATATATATATATATATATATATATATATATATATATATATATATATATATATATATATATATATATATATATATATATATATATATATATATATATATATATATATATATATATATATATATATATATATACATATATATATATATACATATATATATATATATATATATATATATATATATATATATATATATATATATATATATATATATACATATATATATATATACATATATATATATATATATATATATATATATATATATATATATATATATATATATATATATATATATGTATATATATATATATGTATATATATATATATATATATATATATATATATATATATATATATATATATATATATATATATATATGTATATATATATATATATACATATATATATATATATATATATATATATATATATATATATATATATATATATATATATACACACATATATACATGTATTCATATATGCATTTAGGTATGTGTGTGAGTTCTCGAAACAAAGTGACAGGGAGTGTCCCATTTGCAAATAATATATATATATATATATATATACATATATATATATATATATATATATATATATATATATATATATATATATATATATATATATATATATATGTATATATATATATATATATATATATATATATATATATATATATATATATATATATATATATATATATATATATATATATATATATATATATATACACATTTACACATATTCATATATGCATTTAGGTGTGTGTGTGCTCGAA